CGATTGTGTTTAAGGTAAAAGCTGGGTGCGTTGTGAATTCTTTTCTGTATGTGTGTGTCCCTGTCCCTTCCCCAGGCCTTCTGTCTTCTCCCTTCCCTCCAGTGAGCTCCTTCAGCCTCTGGCAGCCCCCACACCCTGGCCACCCTTCCTCTGGTCCTGATGAAGAGGGCCGCTGGCTGCTAGAGGGGATGAGGGGTTGTGTTTGTGGACAGGGCACCTGAAGCCCTGACCCTCAGGTCCTTTGGAGGGCTTCCAGGCTGACTGAAGGCTGGACACTGGGGGGGGGGGAGAATCTTACCAGCACCCCTGAGGCTTAGAGACTTCTGAGAGTGCCCCCCTCCAAATGAGGTTAGGGTGGTGTGTGGTACTCTGTAATGACAGTGCCCACTGTCTGGGTCTGGGTCCCTGCACACTGTCCTGCTGAAACTGTTGAGGGGCCTCCAGAAGCCATGAGCTTGGCCATGGTAGGTGAGGTCCTCTGGGGTAATGGTCTAGGCCAGGGGGCCTCCCAGGGCTGGAGCATGGGGAGGCTCAGAGGAGGACATGGTCACTCTAGACCTACGCCCTCCCTGCCACCCTGCCTCTGCACCCTGACCAATGAGGGACCTCTTCCCAGCATGTAAGGACGTGACCCCACCTCCTGGCATCGGGGCCCCCTGGTGCTTGTGCTGGAACACCGGAGCTGCCTTCCGGGCTTCCTGCAGTGGGGTCCAGGGACGGGGCAGTGCCCTTCCACAGGGGCTACCCGCCGTTAACCTCTTCTTAGTCCGTTGGATTCATGGTGGCTTAGAGGGTGAGGTGAGCCCTTGCCCAGGGGTTGTCGCGGGATTCTTACACTGACCCTGTGAAAGAGGGTCACGAGAGCACCCTGTTTGGGGGCCTGGCTTCCTCCTGCGCGATGCCCAGTGCGCCTGTGGACAGGACCCTGGCTGTGTGGGGTGGGCGGGAGCTCTGTTAAATTCGGAGGTGGCTTTGTGTTTGGAATCCCGCCAGAGGCTATAAATAGCTGAGTGTGTGAAGTATTGGAGCCTAGAGATGGGGGGAGGCCCCGGGTCTCCAGCTGGCAGCAGAGGTGGGTGTGGTGTGATGGGGGGATGGTGACAGCTTGCCCAGGCCTCTGAGGCTCTGCCTGTGACACTCTTAGTCCTTTGAGGGGTAGGGAGGATAGTAGGCGACTTAATGTTGAGAGATTTCCTGTTGGTCCTGGGCAGGAGGGAGCCGTTTTCTCTACTAGAAGCACCCGTATGCCAGAGACTTCTCTGAGTCCTTGAAATATGCAGTAACTCAAACAGCAGTCCTAGGATTTAGGTGGTGGTGTTATCCTTTTTACAAGCAAGGAATCAGAGGCACAGGCTTCTTAGATAAGTGGTCCAGGTCCACACAGCTAGAGGTATGAGCCAGGACTTGCCAGGTGTAGGCGGCTTCAGACGGCCCTCTACCTGGTTGCCTGTAGAAGCATCTGGTCAGATGGAAGTCCAGTGACTTCATGGAGTCCTACTTGAAGCCTTAGGATTGGAGTTCTTGGCCCTTTGCATCTGGATCTGTCCCAGGCAGCGGCCAACAGAGGGACCTGCCTGATCAGAGACCTGGACAGAGGGCTCAGTGCTTTGTTAACCTGTATTGGGCAGAGTGGGCTACTTAACTGAATAGAAATGGAGTTTGTACAAGGACCCCAGGGCCTGGCTTTTACAGGTTAAGCCAGCCCTTCTTGTCCTGTTGTCCTTTCCCCTTGAAGTCATACACCAGCTATGAAATACGCTTATTGGTCCATCCATCTGTGCATTCAGTCATCAACCATCCGTCCATCCATCCAACAAACCCACCAACCATCAGCCAGCCAACCAATCAAATCAGCTATCCCTCCATCCATCAAGCATCCAATCAGCTATCCCTCTATCCCATCCAAGCAACTAGTCAGCTATCCCTCCATCCCTCACTCATGCACCCATCAGCCATTTATCCAACAAACCAACAGCTGTCCTTTGATTAATCAGCCATCCAGCCAGTCAGATATCTGTCCATCCGTCTGTCCATCCAATCAACTGTCCCTTCATCAACCAACCATCGTCCATCCATCCATCCATCTATCCATTCAGCTAGCCAACCAGTCAGCTATCCATCCAGCCAGTCACCTATCCCTCCATCCGTCACCCATTCATCTATCCATCCGTCTGTCAACCAGCCATCCAACCTCCATTCATCAACCATCCATACATCCATCCCACCAACGAACTGTCCAATCTGCCCACTATCCTCTCATCCATCATTACCTGTCCGTCCGTCCGTCCATCCATCCCTGAGCACCCATTGTATGCCCACAGCTGGTCTTAGTACTGAGTCCAGCTGTAAAATAAACAGGACATTGAGACTCTTCCTCCAGTTTCCAGTTTTGTGGGAGAAACTTGCTGTTTAAAAGCAATTTTCAAGCCCAATTATAATCTTTCCCCTTTCCCCCCAAAGAATGATATGTTGTTGTTTTTCCTCCTGGAGATTAGTCCCAGTTGCATTATCCTTCCCTGTTTGGATGTCTAAATAGTCCATTAAAGAACAACAAGCAATTAGCAAAGGGTAATAGGCTCTGTGGTGGGGTGAGCACGAGGGCCTGTGGAAATAAGAGACTTGGCTTGGTTTCGGGGGGAGGAAAGATTTGGAATCTGAAGGAGAAAGTGGAGAGTCTCCTGAACCAGAGTTAGCCACACCAAGGGACTCCAGAGGCCGGACGAGTCCCTCAGACCAAGGGACTCCAGAGGCCGGGCGAGTCCCACAGACCAGCAGTGTATGGCTGCAGGGAGCGAAGGCCGAGTGGAGTGTGGAGAGCTCTGCCCCTGTTTGTAGGCCGGGTGGAAGTCTAGCCCACAGCTCACTGGGACCCCCTTTAGAATTGCTGTTGTCTCATGGGGGTTCCCCGACAGAGAGGAGTCTTAGTGTCCCCTGGGCTGTTGGCTCTGCATAGCCCCATGAGGTGCTGCTGCAGGTCAGAGGGGCCCTGTGGGCATCCTAGGTCCCTGGCCTTGTGCCCCCTCCCCTCATAGATTCTCTCTGAAGGCCTGCTTGGGGGAGCCGTACGTGCACCCTGGTGTGAGCCCCTTTGCAGGGTCCCCTGGCCCAGGCTGGGTCCCAGCCACCTGGCTTCACAGCTGCTGTGCTGTTTCTTCTACACACGTCAGGCCGGAGCCCTGGCCTTTGGCCTCTCTTTGGACCCTAGGTAGGTCCCTTGGAAGAAGTCTCCACTCACTGCAGGGAGAGGCAGACGGGTGGGGTCTGAGCAGAGTGTGGCCCTCTCTTGAGGTGGGGCCACAGCTGGTTAGTCTTCTGGGGTGCATCCACGGAACTGCCTTTCCCTGTGTGTGGCCATGCAGGGGTTAGAAAACAGACGAGTCTGGGATTGGAGAGTGGGCCCTCTGCCGTACCCGTCCTTCTGTGGGGTGGTTCTGACCTCTCCTTTGTGCTGTGGCAGTGGTTGTGAGGAGGTGAGCTGGGGTGGTGCCCGGTTACACTGGCCCACAGAATGCAGACAGGACAGGTAGGCACTGGGTGCGGCTTCCACGTGGGTGTCTGTGAGGAGCTTGGCGGCAGGGCTGTTCATGGGGACCCTGGGATAGCGGCAATGGTGGGGTACCCCCAGGTGGAGCTGATTGGAGCAGGACACATCAGCAGAGGCTTGCAGTCCCTGGGGCAGATTTGGGGTTGGGACTCGAAGGGGTGGTGAGGAAGGGAGAATTGGCGAACGTTTGATTCCTGTTGGAAGGACACTAGGATTTGAAAGGGACAGTTGGCGATTGGAGTGCTCTGCTGCCTGGATGGCACTTCTGCCCACGTGGGTGGGCAGGCGTGCCTGGCACAGTCACCAGGGCTTGGCCTTGGCCTGGGGATGCTGTGTTTCCACAGTTTGGTCATCTCCCAGCCCCTCCTCCTCCTGGGGATGAAAATCAGCCCTGGGCAAGCCTGGAAGTGCTGCTTCGGTCTTCAGGGTCTGCGGAGCACCACACTGTGAGGGGCCCTGCATCCTGTCCAGACTCTGTGCCTTTGGCGATTGTGGGGGACACACCAGCAGTGTCTAGGGGTGCTGTGGGGAGGAGGCTGGGGCTGGGAGAGGTGGCAACAGTAGTGAACTATCCTGTGTGTAGCTGGTCCATGTTTGGACCCCCAGGGTTTAGAAGAAGACCCTGAGACAGGTGGAGTGGACGGAAAATGCGGGTTCTGGCCCGTTGGATAAATTGGACTCAATCCAGCAATGTGTGGTTTTGACAGACACTCCTTCCCTCTCCCCCACCCCAGTGACCAGTGGGTCCTGAGGTTTTGAGGGTCCTCTGACCTTTTCTGCGGCTGTAGAGGAGCCCCACGGCTCTCCCCAGATTGCATAATTACATCCATCTGTCACCAGGGGTGGGTGGGGGATGCGGGGCCAGGGTAAGCCTCGTGCTGTGGAGTGAATGGGGGGGGTCTGTGGAGCTGGGTGTTGGATGGTGAGTTGAGGCCCAGCGTTGGTGCAGGCCTCGTGATACTTACCTGTGCTGCCCACTGCCCAGCCCTTCGTGGGTTGGCCGGGGCTCAGAGGTGGGGACCCTCTTGGGCTGGCCTGGGGTTCACAGATGGGGACTCTTTCGAGCTGGCCAGGGGTCCAGGGACCGGGACCCTCTCTCTGGGCTGGGGTCCAGGGAAGGAGGAGGAGGATGGCTCCGGCGTGTGCTCAGTCTCCCGTCGTCTGTGTCCCGCACAGGCTCCGGGCGCGGGGAGGCCGAGACCCGGGAGTGCATCTACTACAACGCCAACTGGGAGCTGGAGCGCACCAACCAGAGCGGCCTGGAGCGCTGCGAGGGCGAGCAGGACAAGCGGCTGCACTGCTACGCGTCCTGGCGCAACAGCTCGGGCACCATCGAGCTCGTCAAGAAGGGCTGCTGGCTGGACGACTTCAACTGCTACGACAGGTACACAGGCTTCCAGCCTTGCTGGACCCCTGGCCTTGCAGGCCCGCGGCGTCCAGGAGGGCTGGGCGGGGGAGGAGAGAAAAGGTGCTGTGGAGACAACTAGGCCGACTGGACATGTGAGGCCTGAGAAGGGGTGTGTGTGGGGAGGGCCCTCTGGGGGCCTTGATGTCTGTGGAGGGGATGGGCTGGTGTGCCACAGCCGAGGGTGAGCGTGGAAATCCTGTACCTCCAGGCAGGAGTGTGTGGCCACGGAGGAGAACCCCCAGGTGTACTTCTGCTGCTGTGAAGGCAACTTTTGCAACGAACGCTTCACCCATTTGCCGGAGGCAGGGGGCCCTGAAGGTGAGGGGAGCACCAAAGGTGAAGGGGCCCTGAAGTGGGGGGAACCCTGAAGGTGAGGGGAAGCCCCGAAGGTGAGGGGAGCTCTGAAGATGAGGGGGACCTGAAGGTGAGGGGGACCCTGAAGGTGAGGGGGGCACCTCATGGTGAAGGGAGCCCCAAAGGTGAGGGGGGCCCCACAAGTGAGGGGCCCTCTTGGTCCTGGAGCTCCTGAATCAGGTGGGGCATGATGATAGGCCCATAGTCTGGTCGTGGAGATGTGGAGGACAGACTGTGTAATGCAGAATTCCCTGTGTTCCCCAGTCACGTATGAGCCACCCCCGACAGCCCCCACCCTGCTCACGGTGCTGGCCTACTCTCTGCTGCCCATTGGGGGCCTGTCCCTCATCGTCCTGCTGGCCTTCTGGATGTACCGGCATCGCAAGCCCCCCTACGGCCACGTGGACGTCCACGAGGTGAGGCCGGGCTGCCAGGGGTCAGAGTGGGGTGGGTGTGGGGTGGCCAGGCCCTGCTTAGCTGTTGGTCTGTCTCAGGACCCCGGGCCCCCGCCGCCGTCCCCTCTGGTGGGCCTGAAGCCGCTGCAGCTGCTGGAGGTCAAGGCCCGGGGTCGCTTTGGCTGTGTCTGGAAGGCACAGTTAATGAACGATTTCGTGGCTGTCAAGATCTTCCCGCTCCAGGTAGGTACTCGGATCACCGTCCCCCACTGTGCCCCGAGCTCTGACACCCCTCCTGCCCCAGGACAATCCAGGCTGCATGGCACTTGCCGGGTGGCCACCTGTCACCTACAGAAGGTGCTTGATGCCCTGCACTTGGCAGTTCAGCAGATGCCCCACAGAAGTGAGAGCTCGGAGCTGGAGTGGGGTTTGCAGAAGCCTTTGTTAAAGCTTGGCTCCCTCGGGCTTTCGGGCTGGGTTTTCTTGTGCTGTCAGGTTCTTCTCAGGTCCTGGAGCCAGGCCAGGCGCCCTGTGCCCTCATTGGCTGGGTGGCATTGGGCCACTGGCTCCTCTCCGGGCCTCACTGGGGCAGTCTGTGATTGGAGGGGGCAGGCATTGCATGACCGTGGGGTTACTGCTGGCCGCGGCTGGGAGGCCCCGAGCGGGAAATGGGGGCGTGGCTGTCCTGCTGCAGGGTGGTGGTGCGGCGGGCTGAGCCCTGTCCCCCCGCAGGACAAACAGTCCTGGCAGAGCGAGCGGGAGATCTTCAGCACTCCGGGCATGAAGCATGAGAACCTGCTGCAGTTCATCGCGGCTGAGAAGCGCGGCTCCAACCTGGAGGTGGAGCTCTGGCTCGTCACGGCCTTCCACGACAAGGTGAGTGCGCCGCGAGGTCACCTGTCCAGCTGTCCTGGATCCCCGGGGTGGCCTTCCAAGGGGGGAGGGGCTGGACCTGGGGCAGTGTCCACAGTAACGCAACCCCGGGTCCTGGGGCAGTGTCCACAGTAACGTGACCCCGGGTCCTGGGGCAGTGTCCACAGTAACGTGACCCCGGGTCCTGGGGTAGTGTCCACAGTAACGTGACCCCGGGTCCTGGGGCAGTGTCCACAGTAACGTGACCCCGGGTCCTGGGGCAATGTCCACCGTAACTTGACCCTTGACCTTGTGAGAGTGTCCACAGTAATGTGACCCCTGGTCCTGTGATAGTGTCCACAGTCAGGTGCCTCTGACCCTGTGACATTGTCTACAATAATGTGACCCCTGATCTTGTGAGAGTGTCCACAGTGAGGTGACCCCTGGCCCTGTGGCAGTGTCCACAGTTATATGACCCACACCCAGTGCTAGTGTCACATAAGGTCCCAGTAAGGGGATCTCTACTTTATAGACCTTGGGCATTTACAAGAATCTTGGGATAATCTTAGAAGTGGTAAAGAAGTAGTAACCTGTGGGGCTGTGATTACCCCGACTTCTGCTCCCTCACCTCCGTGCTGGCCCTCCTGCTGTCATCAGTTACAGCCTCTCTGGAGGGTTGCCAGCTGTGGCCAGCAGATCACCTCTTGGGCTGGGCCAGCCGTTGTCGCCGGGCTGTCCCCCTAGGCTTGGCTGGCTGTGACTGCTGGGCTATCCCCCCAGACTGGTCTAGCTGTGGCTGATGGGCTATCCCCTGGGCTGGGCCAGCTGTGGCCGCTGGGCTGTCCCCTGGGCTGGGCCAGCTGTGGCCGCTGGGCTGTCCCCTGGGCTGCTACTGTCTGTGCCTCAGCGCCCTGCTGCCTTCCCTAGGGCTCCCTCACTGATTACCTCAAGGGGAACATCATCACGTGGAATGAACTGTGCCACGTGGCAGAGACGATGTCTCGCGGGCTGTCGTACCTACACGAGGACGTGCCCTGGTGCCGCGGAGAAGGCCACAAGCCGTCGATCGCCCACAGGTACCTGGGTCAGCAAGTGGCCTCCTTCCCAGGACGTAGGCAGGGCCCGGAGGAGTTTAACTTCTTAAATGCTTAGGTGCTAGTGGCCTGTGTGAGGCTAGTGGGCGCTCAAGCTGGGCTCTCTGAGGCTTCCACCTGTGTCCTTGGGCGGGGTGCCCTCTCGTGGTCATAGGCGGAAGTGCTGGATCTCGTCCTTTATTTACTGGTTGAGCAGCTGTTCTCAGACTTTGCTTGGGACCTTTACACTCTTTTTTTTTTTTTTTAAATTTAATTTTTTTAATTTTTTTGTGCGTGTACCATCAAATCGGATCTGACTGGTAACAGGAGGAGATTACCCCTCCTCCAGCAGAGCATCTGGTGGATTTGAACCGTGTACCTCTGAGATTGCAGTACAGCTTCTTGCCACTAGGCCACCAGAGCTCCCTGGGGCCTTTACACTCTTAAACAAAACTTGTGTACGTGGGTTGCGTCAGAGATTGTGAGGGTCCCTAGGAGCTCTTGGGCACAGACCATGGTGTCGGGGAGTCTGGGTGTGATGCCAGAAGCAGGGCGAGGTGGCCCGTAAGTGGGCACACGGGAGTACATGGTCCTGCTTCATTCAGCCCACCTTCCAGGAGCAGGGCGAGGTGGCCCGTAGGTGGGGACATGGGAGTACATGGTTCTGCTTCCGTCAGCCCACCTTCCTCCACAGGGACTTTAAAAGCAAGAACGTGTTGCTGAAGAGCGACCTCACGGCCGTGCTGGCGGACTTTGGCTTGGCCGTTCGCTTTGAGCCAGGGAAACCTCCTGGGGATACCCATGGGCAGGTAAGGGGCCTCGGGAGGGATGGAGGGCTGGCACAAGGTGGGCACTGCTCTCCCGGGCTCACCTGGGAGGGGGTAGGGGGTGTACAGGGGCTGCTTGCCCAGGCTCAACTGGGAGTGTGCAGGGGGCAGGGGACTTACAGGGGCCACTGCCTGAGCTCAGCTTGGAGGGGGCAGGGGGCGTACAGGGGCCGCTGTCCGGGCTCAGGACTGTTGCGCTCTCTGACAACATTTCCTGGCTTTACCGGGGAAGCGAAGCCCTGAAATGTCATGTCACTTCCTCGGACTGTCAGCGTAGGAACAGCAGGTCCCCGGTTGGGGTTTTAACCTCTCATCCTTGTAGCTTCTGGCTTTTTCCTACAAAGAATCCAAATTATTATTTTTTTTAATTTAATTTTATTTTTTTTTATTGTATTATTTTTACGTGTACCGTCAAATCAGAT